TCTGCCAATATTCATGCTTCATTCTTTAACAGTGCAGTCCTACACTGAAAACAGACAAGATAAAAAAAGGAGACAATCTTCCTCAAACTGCGTGAACTCAACCATATCTACTCACATTTGTGACAACGAATCTATATTATTTATTATTCCTTTTAGCACTACAGAGCGAGCGTGGCACTAAAGAAGATGAATTCCTGAATCTCTGACACCAATGTTTGCTGATGCGTGAATAATCTGGGCAGATGTGGCTGAAAATGAGGCACTGATCTCATGAAGACAACTCACGTGCACGGTGCAGCATCGGACCCAAATAGCTCTGCACCCCGTAGGATCAGACCTATCTGTTACTCAGAAATTCTGTTGCACTCCCATAAATTTATGGAGCTTTCTAGGGGGAAAATCCCCTCCAAAGAGTTCCACAAGATAACTTTGGGAGTTCCTAAACTACAGCTTCTCCCAGAACCCTCTTCCCTGCCCAGGGGGAAGTTAGCAGTCAACTGCTAGGTTCTGTAACTGGCAACTCGTTACAAAGCCAAAAAGAAAACAAAACCCAGAAGCATCTAAAGCAACTTCCTACCCGAGTCCTAATTCATCCAACCCAAACTAAACATCATGGAGCTCTACAGAAACTCATCTAGGAGGACAAAAGATTTTTGTTTGTTTTTTTCTAATATTAAAACAGTACCTCTAGGGCACAGCATGGTGCTCAATGGAAAATTCATTGTCCTGCAAGTAGAATGATTCCTTATGAACACTTCTGCTTCCTTGCTAGAAAGCCTACAAATTTCCACAGAACTCAGCCTCACCAAAACAAACAAAACAAGAAGACCTGGAATATTTCAGTTAAAGAAAGAGAGTTCCTGTGCTTCTTTCTTTTCTCTCTCTCTGCATCTCCCTGAAGGGGTAATATAATGTTTTTCAAGCCAACTAGCACATATTTTCTTTCACTTCAGGACATTTCTTGTAACCTACTTAATTTCTGTAACCTGTATCTTAAAATAAACGTTTTCCCATTATCAGTTAACTTGGCTCAAGAGACACGTGACCATTTACTATGAAAATGTAATTATAAATAGAATAAGCCAAGCAACATCTACCATTAGACTTTTACTTTCATTCTGGGTCCACTGTTTTCATTATCAGACACTAAAGAAGGTGATTTGTAAAACAACTGTATTTCAGAAGACATTTACAGAATGCTGAAATCACCATCTCTGAGGTGATGTGAGATTCCAGTACATATCTCACTAAACAGGCATGTCATGGTTACAGCACTTTACCTAAATATCTAGGTGTTCCTAAAAATAAATGCCCTGTTTTGTGGGATTACATTATGATGACATTAGGATATGCTATGTACTTCTATATGCCAAAATAATTAAACATAATGGCAACCTCTCCTATGGTTCCGCTAAATTCTATTTCCAGGTGAAGGATTGCTCTTTAGCCAAGTACCGGTTAGTCATTCCACGTACTCTTACTTTAAACTCAAGTCCTTCATATCAGATATTTCAGGACAACAACACTTCAATACAAACATAAAGTCTATTTGGACTCCATTTTCCTGTTAATTGTTTTAGTCTTTTCTCATGTTTTACAGAGTGATTGTTTTATAGCTAGACACAGGAAACCCCTTCTTTAACAATTTTATGTACCAGTGCTTTGGAGCTATACGAGAATGTTAAAAAAAGTTCTATTTAAAAGTTACTGCTAAATTAGTAAATATTTGGCATCTGGTCTCAAACTGTTTGTATATTTAGCAGTTTGAAAATGAACCAAGGTCAACATCCTAAAGCTGATTAGAACACGAAGTTAAAATGATAGGTTATGATACTGTTAAACAGTACCATCAAAGTGCTTGTGTAAGGAAAACAACATTCATTGTACAGTTATGACAAATAAAACTTAATAATAAATTATTAATGGCAAAGCTATTTCATTTAATCTAGGTGAAATTATTCAATTGTTCTTAAGCACACTACTGCCTAATATTTTTTAGGTAAACTTGTTTAAACCTGAAGGACTCAAGACAATGTAAAATCTGCCTCCAATTTATGAAAGCATGGAGGAATCAGTATCATCTAACTAGTCATCAAAGAGTCAGTAGAAACCTGCTGAAGATCCTAAATCTGCAAGCACAGAATAGATCTTTAAGGTGTACCAACCTGCATACACCAAAAAAGACACAGGTAGCCAAAAGTTATTAGCCATGTCAAAGAGAATATGGGAAGATGCTCTAGCAATATGACCCCTTCTGTAACCTAAGATCAATGTTAAAACTAAACATTCACTATACAGCTTTCCGCAACCCCTCAAAAAAAGGTTGGGGTTTAAATTTTGTTTTTACAGACTGTTTCTTCATTTCACATATGCAGAAAGTTAGCCTGTAGACATAAAATAAATAAAAACACGGGAAGTATCAGGTTGTGGGCACATATCTGGGAGAGTAAAAAGCGTTAAATACTTCTCGCTTACAAATCATTCCACACTATCAAATTTATTGTTGTTGTTTCATTCAGTTATTGAGCTACTGTCAAAATACTTCAGGTTCTCACTGTAAAAGAAAACAGGCCACAATTTAGGAAGAGTTTGTATTTTGGACAAAAATAAATGAAACTCCTGTTGAGGAAATGGACATGCTCCATATAGATTTCTTGTCAGGAAACATTATTTCAAGGCTACTGACAAACCCAATTTAGTTGCCTATGTAAGATCAAACACATCACAAATTTTAAAATCATGATTTTGTTAAAGAGTCTGCCCGAAACAAGGCTGTCTTGTTTTGCATTAGGACATCTGGCTTAACACCAGATCCAATAAAAGATATAAACGGTCTCAATCCAGATGTTAAGAATACACCTGATTTCGAAGCACAAACAGCCCAAAATGGGACACAACTCCTGAGTTCCCAGGCAGCATTAGATACTTCACAACAGAAACCAAAATACTGACAAAACCACCTAGAGCTTGCATGAAAAACGTTAAGCACGGCAGCACTTGAACTCCTACCACTTCTGCTGCATTCAAGCCTTGCTATCAGGATCCGGAGTTCAAGCTCCAGTCCTCAGGACACATGCCTACAACCTTTCTTTTTTTCCTCCTTCCAAACGAACTGAGCACGATACATCATACATACCCCCATATCCTGGGCTGTATCCAGAGAAGTGTGGCCAGCAGGTCGAGGGAGGGGATTCTGCCCCTCTACTCTGCTCTGGTGAGATCCCACCTGGAGTGCTGCATCCAGCTGTGGGGCCCTCAATATCAGAAGGATATTGACCACTTGGAGAGAGTCCAGAGGAGGGCCACGAAGATGCTCAGAGGGCTGGAGCACCTCTGCTATGGGGACAGGCTGCGAGAATTGGGCTTGTTCAGCCTGGAGAAGAGGAGGCTCCAAGGAGACCTTATAGCGCCTTCCAGTACCTGAAGGGGCTACAAGGAAGCTGGGGGGGACTTTTTACAAGGGCCTGTAGTGACAGGGCAAGGGGGAACGGGTTTAAATTGAAAGTGGGGGGGTTTT